ACAGATGAGTTCTGCTGGAGAATATTAGAAAATGTCTCAAATCTCATATATATGCTAATGGTATGCTGAGACTGGTTGGTGGTATGCCGGAGTTTTTAATCTGTCTCGACCAGTGTGGAAAGTGGAGGAGACAAGTCATTGCACTCGACAATTTATGATCAAACAACTGAATTGTAAAGGAAGAAGGACATGCAGAAAAGGAGAGTAATTTTCTGATTTAACAGCGTTGTTACTACAAATAAAGAAATCTTGATTTTGACTGCACTCGACATTAAATGAGTTTCCTGTGCCCTGCTCTGAATTTTTCATTTTCAGATTTGTATAAAGCACCCTGCTTAGATACAAGTGACAGATAAGGAGACGATTGCATATGGAAATCAAATGTGTATAATAAAGCCATCTTCTGTTTATTAAATAAACACATGTAGATGACTTCCGTGGAGAATGCACTGATAATTCTTCATTGTGTTCTAGTTTTTTTCCAAGTCACAAAGAATCTTATTTAACAACCACGAGTGACTAGATGCAAGCTTTTCTGTTTATTACCTTGTAACAAACCAGGCAGTCTAATATATGGCGTTTATAAACATATTATTTTGATTCTTTAGTCCAAGTTTTAGCTGTATCAGTACAATATATTAGTGTTCATGCCATTAGAGTTCTGGAATCTGAATTGATACATTAGTGTTTTCTGAATATTATATTTTCATGATAGAAATTGTAAAGATTATCAAGAAAATATGTACATTATTGTTAACTGAAATTCTGGGAGAAGGGAGGTATAGCATACAGCACTTCGATCTCCATATTAAAAAAAGACTAAAGAACTAAGACTATAGGGCCTGCAGTCAGCTTGACAAATATTTCTGATCCAGTGATTTAAGAGTCTAAGTTTCACATATAAAAAACACGTGAAGTTCATCAAGGGATGTCTTTCCAGTTCTATTTCTCACTCTTGGTTTTTTTTTTGGAGATATAGCCTTCCTATAAATTATTATAATCTATTGCAGTGTTGGGTACCATCATGATACTGGTTGTTTTTTTCCAGAAAGGGTTTTTATATTGCAACCAAAATGCTTGTAGGCCTTTTTAATAAAGCGAAATACACTCTTTTCACCTTCTGCCTCTGGAGAATTAAGTTGAAATTTAGATTTTGGTTCCCATTTTTATTTTGAGAAGAAGAAGATGTGAAGGGTGAATCAGTGATGTCTAGACACTAATGAACTATATTTAGTGAAAACAATTAGCTGTGTCAGAGGAGATCTACAACTGGTAGTTCACCCTGACTGAACTGAGAGGTCCATAATATTAAGCCTTTCCCTGTATTTATCATGTATATATCAGCAGCTGCATTATGAAGGTTCTGGGCTCTCAGCATTTTTTTCTCAAATTATCATCAGCATCACCCTGTACTTTTGGTTGTGCTTGAACTCTATTTTGGTGTTTTGCTTTTGAAAAAGAAGAAAACTCCACCAAATTAACACCCCAAAAGCAAAGCATACTCACCTCCTGACAGGTATTTAGTGCTGAATGAGGGTGGAGTTGTGAAATTCTGGTTCAGGCTTCCAAAGCACCAGGCAGCTTCTCTGCCCGGGGTAACTGTAATGTGAGCTTTGGCATAAGTGCATCAGAAAATTCACATGGATTTCTTACTATGATTGGAAGTGATTGCTGTGCATAGAAGCACACAACCAGTTCAAACAAGACTAGATAAGCTGTGTTGCAAAGCCATATGGCTTAGTTTAAACAGCACAAAGAGGAAGTCTTTGATCATGGCCTTTGATCATAGTTAACCCTAAATGAAGTGGTGGGCTAACGTAGGTAAGAAGGTGTCAGAATCAAAGCAACTAGAGGCTGGTATGAGTCTAGTAAAAGAAGAATTTTGGAGAGGACCCTGGTATGCAGATGGTTTGTTTGATTTTAAACCTAGGGTAAGGGAGAAAAAACAGCATCTTGGGCACCAGTGGAGAAGACCAAAATATGGCAGAAAGATGAAGATGACTGGATGCAGAAGCTGTAAGGTGTATGTTATCCTTCAGTGAGTTTCTGACAGAATTTACATATGCATGAAGGGTCATCTCATAATGTTCAGGAAAATAAAGAGGTGTGAGAGACATAAATGCTGCTAGAAATGAGGGTAGAATATAGAAATGCATTTGAGTATGACAGATAAGATGAAAGGAAAGAGCATGAACATAACTGTAGTTGCAGATGGGTTGATTGGCAGATCCCCAGATGAAAAGGAGACCTCTAGAAATATATTAAAATGATGACAGGGCAGAGGAAAATACCAGAATGTGAAGGAAATCTGTGGAAGAAGTTTTCTCTGTGGAAGGAGTTTGTTCTGTGGAAGGAGTGATGAGGTGCAACCTGTAGAGACAGAATACTGAGCAGCATGAAAGAAGAGACTGAGTAAATGGTAACAGCAGGGGCTAGTGGCTGAAGAAAAAGAGAAGACAAAGATAAGTGGAAAGCAAAAAGGAAGCAAGAAGGCCAAAGTTTCATAGGAACCTAAGGCTGCTCTGAAAGATCACTTTTTTTCATAAGAAATATTAACAGACTGGCCATCAAAGTGGATGGAAATGGAAAACAGTCTTGTGTGAAGTCTGTCCAAGCATAATGCTGTGAGGGGCTGGCAGAGTGTGAAAGTCATTCTAAATAGGCTGGGGAAGAATCCTTTTGCTGTCATTCTACCATTTGACTGTAAGAATAAGAAACTTGCTTGAGCTGCTCAAAGAGAGTTGTGCTAGATGGGGGAAGATGTTCAAAGATCTTTCTTCTATTTCACAGACCGAGAGAGCAAATATTTGGGAAGATAATATCATCAGGACTGGTGAAAGCACCAATCCAGAGTTTGAGATATTTGCCTGGTTAAGTACCTGGAGAAGTGACCCTCTTGGATTTTTGCTAATCTGACTAATAAGAGAATGGACAGTAGAGAGGAAGTAAATGCTTTGAGGATAATAGTGAAGTGGGTAGTTAAAAATAGGAATGCTTAATTTGGATAGTGAGATTTAACTGGAAACTGCCTCAATAATTCATTGGAACTGCACAACAAAGTGGAGGAAGTCAAACGAAGAGTCGGATATGAAACTACATTATAAGAAAAGCAAAATGGAAAAGCTGTTATCATTAGAAAAGAGATATGGAAGGAGCTTAACTATTCAGGAATTGGTCTGGTACACTTTGTCATGTAATGACCTCAAAAAAAGTAAGAGGAGGGAGTGTGAGTTAGTCATGATCTGAATGATAATTTTTTAGGGAAGACTATAAAGTATCTTTTGCTGTGAACCTGCTGGAAATCAGAAATTGAACTCCAGTGTTTCAGAACAATAAAAATCTTATTATCCTTGCAGCGAATGTGGACTTTCTAAGATTTTTTTTTTTTTACTTCACCAATACAACATGAAGTTCAAATGTTGCTAATAATGGTAACACCCAAATGCAAAGTAGACTTCTTCAGTAAGTAGTCATTGAGCTAGCAAAGGGCAATGTTACTTTAACTTCGGTTTTAGACAAATGAGTTTTTTGTAAGGTAGCACACTGTCTCCCTCTTTCCTCCATCCTCATCCCCTCTACTTATCCTCACTGTTCAACTTGTTGTTGGCACAGGCCAGGACCTGGGACAACTGCAGGCAACATACATTTTATCCTGGTTATGGAGGAGGCAGTACTTTTAAAGGGTATTTAAGTAACATTTTATGAGTCAGGAAGGCTTGATCCACATGCCTTTGTAGAAGATTCACATGACCAAGAAGGTATACAACAGTATTTTATCAATAATGTGCTTCTAAACCCGAGACCTGCAAGTTGGATTTTTGAAGCTGTTTGACAATTATATAAATACGTTTGGCATGAGGTAGAGTGGAAAGCAGGTACTTTTAAAAGTCTCACCCACAGTATTTTAGAAAATCTCTTACATTTTTAATTTTCAGGTTCTCAAAAATATTTGTTTAAAAATCTATTAATGATGAAAAATAAAAATAGACAAAGAAATCCCAAATCAACAAAGACACCCTGTGAATATAAAAATGTGAATTAATAAATGATGCTTTTCCCCACCATGTTCACACAACAAGAGCTGTCTACACCACTGTGCTTGACTGCACTTTTATTCTGTAAAAGGCAGTACCATGAATAAGTAAAATTGAAAGTGTGAAATAGCTTAGAGTTGAAATGTGCCCTTAACAGGGCCTAGCAAAACTTTATTGAACCTCGATGCCTATGAACAATGCCTCACTTCAATCGTGCCAGCAGATGGCACTCTTTATATTAAGTAGCTTTTTTGGGAAAATTTAATTTGTTTCTTTTTTTTTCTTTGTTTATTAAGTATGGAGAGGTACTATCCCATGTAATGCTTCTTCCTGAAATGAAAAATTGATCTACACAAAACTTCAAATAACTGTATTTCTGATGGTGTGTATAAACTGAGATTTTCTAATACGTGCCCTTCTCCATACCTGGGGAAAATTAGGAGAAGAAATTCAATATGACTGGAGAGTTGTAACTCCTGAACGTTGGAAAATTAAAGTGTAGGAACAGGTTTCTGGGAATGTTTTGCAACTGCTCTGTGTTTCTAGTGGTTAGGCATTTCCAGGCTGAATGTTGGATGCTTAACAATGGTTAACATCCAGTTAATTCTGGACATTTGTAATCTGTCATTAGGTGCCTTTTTCACTTCCAACAGAGAAGATACCAGAGGAGATACATGCACAGGTATCAAAACAGGGATGACTGGAAGGAGAAGGTCTTCAAATTATGCTAGTCTGATCCTGCAGGAGAAATTCAGGACTAAAAGAAGAAGCCCCTTTGTGAAACCAGCGTGTGGTGGTGGCAAGGAGGTGCCTCACCCTGTCTGAGCTGAGGAAGCGTTGCCTGGACAGGGAGAACACCAGAAGCAGAACACCAGTCCACCACAAAGAGCTGCTTTTCCTCAGGTGCCTCCAACTTCCTGCAGAGCTGCCAGCCACCTCCAGCGCTTGTAGCTGCACCCACAGGCACTTGACAGAAGCGTGTGTTTACAAAAGGATTTTAGTAGTGAAGGTAGTGTATATTCAATCTGTGAACAGTGATATAAAATCCTGTGTTTTGTAAATAGAGGGGAAGAAGAAAAGCAGGTTCCCATAATCAGTAAATACTTCTGTAGCTAATAACGTGCTAGGTTACTGATGGACACAAACCGCATAGGCCCTAGGGGAAAATAGAAAGCCTTCAGTTTTTCCAGCTACTGCAAATACTTCAGCTGAAGTGAAGCCTCTTTTTCAGAGAAAGTCAGTGGAAATAGCTTCTGCTGAGCTGGAAAGATACTCTTGATTACTTGCTGTGCTCTTAGATAATCAAGGACACAGTGGAAATACCACATAGCATGAGACCAGCTTTGATTTATCCCAGGAAACCTCTCTCAACCTCAGAATGCACTGTAAACAGCTGCTTCACAAACTTCGGACAGAAAAACCTCTTCATTTTTTATCTCTTAGTTAATATATAAAAAAATGTTTATTCGACATTGCACAACTGCATAATTTCCGGTCCTTGCATAAAATTAGAAGAGGAAACAAGGATGACTTCAAATAAATTTGTTTCTTGGGTACATTCTTTTGCAAGGTTTCAATTACTAACTCAAACCTGTTAAAAATATTTGCCTCATTAATCACAATATTTAGTACTCTGGCTATTTCTGTCCTCTAGCATGGAATTATTTATCTCTCTGCAGTCTAGAAACTCCTGATAGTGTTTAATTATTATGCCATTTTACCTCACTGTAAAGATGTTTACAGCTGCTACCCCAACGTTCATATCCTTAACTTTTGTCAGCTTTGTAGTTCTGGCAACTTTTAGTAACAATATCAAGCCTTGATAAAACTAATTTCTGGCTACCTCAGTACCCAAAGCTTCAAAATAAAAAAAAATTACTATATCTAATCCCTCTTTTCTTCTAGCTATACTCACTCTTTTTTCCCCCTTTGCCTTAATTTTTGAATTACTCTGTTCTGTTCTGGTCTGTGTTTGCTGCTATGGGTAACAAAAAGTGTAACCTAGAAAGCTGTGAACACTGCTGTGTTCAAATGCTCCCTCTTCTTCTAGTTCTCCCTTCTCATTACTTGTTCCTATATATAGTGTGCTTGTTTTCCTTCCTGTTTAACATCTTTGAATCCCCTTGATGCCCTTCATTACACAGCTTTTGTTCAGGCACTTGAGACTTTTTAAATTGCTTATTAGAAACCTCCTAGCAACACTTACCTTATTGCCTTAAATCTACCAAAAATGCTGTCACATCAAAATAAGCTATTTCACTTACACTTCTGCTTCTGCACAGTCACCTCCAAACTCTTGTATTGACACGTTTCCCCTTTACCAAATACAAACCTCCTCTGGCTTGCTGCTTGTTTCTTTTCTTTCATTTCTTTTGGCTGACCTCTCAGCAACTTTATCAAGAAACAAAGCCCTGGAAGTAAGCATTTAACTTTTGGTTTTCATCTGTTGCTCATTCCAGTGCTTCTTCCTGTGTCTCCATCCTGCATGGATGCATTCACAGCCTGGCAGCCCAGATGAGGTACTGCAAAGCCGTGCATTTGAGTAGTGCTAATATAAGGGACCATGACACCTTAATTCACTGCACCACTTTCCTTGTTTACTCTTGTTTGAATGTGTTTTCAACTTTTTTTTAGTATTTCAAAATGGACTGTAGTATTCAGATGAAAACTGAAGCAGTTAGGTCTTTTATTTTGCTAGTGCATAATAATGTGTGCAAAAGCATTTGTGGGAAGAAAAAAGTATAATAAGAATTGCTATGAGTCCCTACTTCCTACAAATAGGTAAAGGTATAAATATTCATCCTTGAAATATTTTTGCTGTCATCTTGGAACCTCTCTGGGTGTAGCAGTCACCCAGATACATGGCAAAAAGGAGACAAATTACATCAATTTTTTTGAAAACTTTAGCAGTTATTCATACTTCTGAAGAAAACTGCATCAGTAATTAAACAACTGAATTAATAATTTCCAGTATATATGAAAAAATCCTTGATGTGCTCCAACCTTAACATCATTTAGATGCATATATCATTTGGTCTTTTAAGATTTTTGGGGAAAGGAGGGGAAACTGCCATTTTTTTCCAATGATGTCATTTGCTGTTGTTTTAATACAGAGTTGAACTACTTTCTTAAAAATATATTCACAGTTGTTGATTTTGGTGTGCTGTTCATAGTCTCTGTCCCTCTCCTGAGCACTACCCATCACCCCCACCACTCCCTGTTGGTATTTTGTTTCATTAAATCTTTGGTATACTTTATGTTTATGTGAGATGCACTTCTCTCTTCAGTAGCTCTTATTAGAAGGTGCTGGTTGGGGGGAATGGCACATGGGAAGGGGGCCAAAAGGTTTCATAGTGTTCTGCAAAGGAGATGAAATCCCATAACCCATATCCACTTTTTCCCCATAGCAGTTCTATATTGCAATCAAAGGCATAGCTGCAAGACCTTTACAATGTACTTTGACAAGCTCCAAGGTAGCTTTTGTGGATAACAGCAGCACTGTGAGCAGTTCGACATGAACTCCAGCACCAAGTTCAAGGCAAGAGCAAAGGGGTGGAGTGGTTCCCAGTATAAGCTATTGGCCATTTTTAGTGATCCACAATGTCTGGGTCAAACCAAAGATCTGTCTAACCTCTCTTGGACAGTGGAAAAGAAAGGAGCTTGTATTAAGGAGAAGAAAAACATACAGTGATAATCCTTTTGACTTAACCTGTGATCTTCTACCATTCACAGGTTTAACGTATTTATAAGCCAGGTATTGCATCCAGAGAATCATCTGTTACAGGTCTTGGGTTTAATAAATTCATCTTCCATTAACTTCCAGGATTTAGTTGTGCATTGTATTAAAAAAATGTCCGGTTTGTTTCAGGCTTTCAAAGTGTTAATTGTTTTTTGTATTCCTAGTTCTTTTGTCAGGAGTAAACATGAAACATGGTTCCCTACTTACCTTGTCAACAACATTTATTATTTTACAGATCTTTATTGCATCCTTCTTGAGCAGCTTATTTTGCAAGCCAAAAATCCTAGTCTTGTTTGTCTTTCCTTGCATTATTCCATACCCTTTATAACTCTACCTCTTTCTGCATTTTTTTTTTTTGTCTTTACTATTTGGAGTGTTTTGAGGTAAGGTCAGTTTACGAACTAAGACAACTGGAGACACGTAAGTATTCAGGGTATGAACTAATAAAAAAATAATGGTAGCATAATGAATTTATTTTTTTTACTGCTTTTCCTTCCTGATAGCGTTATTGCTTTGTTTGCCTGCTACAGAACAGTGAACTGTGAACGAGTCCCTTTGCAAGGGGTAAGGATAATAGTTCAAAACTGTATAGTTAAGGATATCTTTTTGTGTATAACCTCTGTTTTCTTGTGTTGGCATTGCATCTCTACTGACATTCTGTCATGTGATCAGTCATTAAGTTGCATGTTCCCCTGCAATGCTTTTTATACAGTGTTAGTTTTGACTATTGTAAATAACTTTCCATCTCAGCAAAGTTTGTTGTCTCCACATTTTCCTTCTTTCCAACATTTTTTTTTGGCAGATGCTGAAGGGCATAAAGGCCATTGTAGAGTCTCATGGCACACCCTGGTAACTTTCCTTTCACACTCTTTATTTTCTAGCTTTGTATATTATTCCAAAACAGCTTGCCTTCTTTAGAAGGCAGTGGTAGGGGACTCTGGGTGTGACGCTTAGAAATTCAAGTATATGTATCATTTAGTTCAAGCTTATTCATATAATTGCTGGCACCTTCAAAAGCTTCGAGCAGATCTTTAAGGCATGGCTTTCTTACAAAAGCTGCATCAAACCCTTCTCTAGTTTTATTAGGTTTCATTGGAGATTTTAACAATTTGCCAGTGACTCCTGTTTGCAGTTGTCTACCACATCTGTAAAAGCAAGGATGTTTTGTATCTTTTATTCTTACAAATTTCTTTAAGTTATAGTCTATGTGTCATAGTCTATGTGTCTCCAGTAATAGTTCACACACTCAATACCTGAGTTCCTTTAAGTGTTGTGTGGTCCTGGTGCCTTTAACTGCTTTTACTGTCCTCTGTAAGGGTCTTTGTTATAGATTTTTATGAAAAAAAGTTTTTTCTTTAGTTATTTTCCTCAAGGAAGTTTCTTCTCAATGGAAACCTTATTATCTAGCTAACATAAAATTAGTTCTTTTGTGTTCCCGAGACTCATAACTGAGGTCTTAAACACACTGCATTCTGTTCTGAAAAACTATTTTATTAGCCAAAGTACTAACACCGAATATGTAACTGCAAAATATTAATAAAAATTCAAATTCACGTAAAGTTGTAAAATTTTTCAATAGAAAATGCTTCAGTTATTTTAGAATTCTAATTTCTGCAAAAAAAGTGGTTTACCCCATATACCTCAACTTTGCTATTCTCAGAACAGATCTCATCTTTTTCAGTTCTAGGAAAGAGTTGTGATGGGGAAATATCACCTTTGAGTAGCTGATGAATGAAAAGTCAATGGATTCCTTGGTATTTATGTAAAAGCAGCAAGATGCTTTTAAAAAAGAGCATCTAAAAAAGCTGTCTAAATTTCTAGTTTTAGCCAGGAAGCACTTTACCATTTTTGATTAGCAGACAAAATTTAAATTAGGAACTCAGGATGAGAAAATATGAACTTCTCAATTACTGCAAAAGCAAAAGATGAGCAAGCTGCCAATGTCAAGCATGATCTGATTGTGTTTTAGCTCTATGTCTCTCAACCATTTTTAATGCAGCAGCTTAATCTGTTGGATTTGGAAAAAAAACCCAACCACCTTGTGTCATGTTGCTTCTGTTTTTCACTTAAAATCAAATGTGTGTGAATCTAGGAACTATTATTATTTGTCTTCTTGGCAATTGTTTCATGTGTTGTTTTCCTTTAAACTGGTGGCAGTTCATAGACCAATGGATGAGAAACAAGTCAAGTGTATGAAAAGTGACACCAAGATGCCGCATAATTTTTTGCAATTGTCAAACTTCTTGTGATTCTTTTCAAAGATGGGCAAAGTGAACGTGTTACTGCCCCCAAGGTTCTCTTTCCAGATCTACCTGAAGGAATATCATACAACTTCATAGTTATAGGAAGAAATGATAGATTATGTTGTCTTCTGTGCTATATCCTCTCATTTGTATAATGACTTCCCCTATCAGTGCAGGATTAGATGAGTAGAGTGAGGCACCACATAAACAAAGGGGAACATGAATAGCTGGGAGAATTACTAGGGGGGATGCAGCTGTTGCCAGCAGTTTAAATCCTAGGTAGGAGTGAATTCATGATCAAGACTGTCTCCCACATGTTGGGAGATCTCTATCTTCCACCTCAGTGTTAATTCCTCACTAGTGTAATGTTGCCACTCCAGTCAAAAGATCAAAGTAGGTTGCTAGTGTGTGGTCAAGGATTACATAGTCTGTACTTTGAGGCTGTTTTCCTGACTTGTCCTTTATGTGTCAGATGATGCCAAAGGAGCAAAAGGGCACCTAGCCCCTGTCCTTGGAGGACCCCTGTCAGAGGTGGAGCTAGTTATCAAGCTGTGATGGCTCTCTTCTCTCCTCACATAAGGCAGGGTGCATGGGAGAGTGGCATTTATTGTTAGTCACTAGGAGGGGTGGGATGCCGGTGGTTGGTTAATTTACAGCCTTTTCTGGGTGGTTCATGTGCTGCCATACATGCAAATGAACTTTTGCCGAGTTACTGCTTGCTGTTCTCTTCCTCACACCACAGTGTACTAACAGGTAATTTCAGGGATAGAGGAAATCAGGGAAGGGAGATCTTTGGGGCCAAACTCTCAGTTTGGATTGGGCTGTTGCTGCCCCCTCACAACTGCACTCCAGGGGCACTGTGCAGAGACTGTCGCCCACCCATATATTACACACCACGTATTTAAAGTACTCTTGTATGCTATGGAGTTAATGTTCCTTTACAGCGAGAGAAATCCAGAATAGGCAGTACCTTATTACTTACTCATAGATCTGTACAGGAAAAATTCAGAGAGCTATGCAGATCTTTATTTATATGTGATAATCTATATCATACACACAGATATGCAAATGGCGGCTTTACATCAGAAATTCACAGGAAAGCTTCAGGCTGATGTTAATTCCATTATTTAAATAAAGAATTTCCCATTGTTACAGAAGCCTTGGAGTGCTTCTGTGCTCTTTATATTTACATAGTGATTTTCTCAGATGAACCAAATGTATAGGGATACAGACTAGTGACACTCTTACCAGTTATATATTGAATTATTCATCATTACAGGAGATTTCAACCAATACTGATTAATCATTTCTCTTCTAAATACCATTTTTGTTATAAAGCTTCCACTAATTCTGTTCTCTTGCCATTATATATGATTTCTATCTGTTATCTGACTTGGCTTTCAATCTGCTATTTAAAAGCTACCAGAACTGTCTAAAGACTATTCAGTGAAACAGACTTTGGAAAGATATACTGTCAAGGGCAGAGTATTGAACAAGGCAGTAAGAGAGAAAAGAAAAATCCAGACAACACAATGATTCAGTTACAGTGATTACACTTGTAGTAAGCATTACTTTCCTGGAAAAGTGGATAGATGGCCCACTTCCAGAATAAAAATAGACAGTTCTTATTCTGCATCCCCCACAACCTTCTTCCAATGTCTCTTATGTTAAGGCATGTGATTTTTTTCATGTCTTCTTAAAGAACAGGTAGTGAAGGAGGTGCTGAGTTTCTTTCATTTGTCCTTGGAGCTATCAATCAAAAATTAAGACAAAGTTATATCTTTACAATGATGTGGTCCATGTCAGGAGTAACTTCTGACTTTTAGGCCAGCTGGACTGGGAGGCTGTTTGTCATTGTGTTCAAGGCAGACATTACATAAAGGTGTCCTCAGGGTGTATCAGTTGTCCTCATGGCCGGGCTCAGATGCTCTTGCATTTACTCAGCCACAAATCTGTCTAGTGTGCCCTGCTTCATACATAGCATATGACCACATGGAGAGGCTTCAGATTTGGAAACCATGGGGGAACCGTGTTGACAGCCTTCTTTGAGACAATATGCCGTCTTCTGTTACCAGCTGCTTGTCATTTCTGCCATCCCTGCCTCTACTGCATATGCTTGAGAAGGCCATAGCAGCAGTGCTATGCAAGTCTGCATAGGTGTCACCCTCCTGGGGGAGCTGGTCCTTCAGAATGTAGGAGGGATACAGTACAGTATTATTCTGTGCGCATGAGTCCTTGATTTTCCACCAATTGATACCAGTTTATGTTGATTCAGTAGCTCTCATAGCTGACACTGTGTGCCCTAAGACCCTCTGTAAGGCATGTATCCCATTGCAAAGTGTCCTCTTAGCCCAATTGAGTTTTCTCCTGGTTGTTTAGTGCTCAGTTCCAATTTGGGCATGGAGTAAGAGTTATGCAGTGAGAATGACTGGGTTCCTGTAGTTGAACAGGGACTGAACCACACTGACTTCAAAGGTTTGGGAAAGCACCAGACTAGACTGTTTAACCATACCTCTAATTGTCACTTGCATCTACTTTTACAAAGCTGTAGATCTACATGGATCTATCTGTGATTCTAATTTCAGTCTCTAGGCCCATTCTTCAGGAGACTTTATCACCTTGGATGTTGAGAAGATTAAAGTTTTGTTAAAATGCTAGGGCTTCATTTTGTTGGGGTTCTGACACCTTGTTTTCCTGTTATAGGTCTAATTTCTGATGTTCATGCTAAAACTCATTTCTTCTACTTCTGTCACAAATATTCCTCTACTTTTGTTGATTTTTATTCCTGCCATACGTCCTGTCTCTTTATTTGGATCTATATATATGTAAAATACTCTTAAGTGCAAGTAGTAGTCCACATATATAAATGACAGCACTCTGAGAGAGGCAATATGCAGCTATCAAACCTGTTATTTTTCACCTAAATTCTCTTTTCATTCCCCCTTGAACTTGGAAATTCTATTATTGCACTGATATCCAAAAAGAATCAGAAAAGAAGTAGTATTAGTAGTACTTCATGAAACACTTTTTCTTCTAAAATTACAGAAAACTAACCAGTAGTATTAAAATTAATATTGACTGCAATTGTAAGGAATAATAATATACTGGAAGATGCTTGGCTTTTCTTATTGGTAAATGTTATCTGATTTTTGGAAGCCTCATTTGAGACCACTCACTTTGAAGACTGTAGTCAGACATCGTTTCTGAAAAGGTGACTATTGAAAGTCATAAGAGTATACAAAACTAAATTTAAATATGAATTTATGCAGGGACACGCAGTTTGAATGTGATCCTCGGTACTGAATTTGAATTACTGTTCTGCTTTATTATCTAGATTTCATTTATTGCTGACAAGGAAAACATTTGGCTTAAAATGTGTGCTCCCATTTTATGCTTTTAGAGCATGATGCTAGTGTTTTTGACAAAGAGGTTTCTAAAGATGGTTTATAAAAGAGCTAAGACATTCTCTTTTCTCAGACGAGTCATTTTATTGAGACGATTTAGAACACATCACACATTCCTTTCTGATTTTGGTCAATAAAGTTATCATGTAATTATCATCAACCAGTATTTAATAATTAATTACTACCTCTAGGGCTGTCTGTGGACAAAGTACAATATCTCATCTGAAAGCAGTGGCTGAATTTGTCAATGAGGTATGGAGGCAGATAATCAGTGTCATCATGAATAATAAAGCTTTCATAATTTTAACTGCATTTAGAAACCATTTCTATACTTGTACCTTGGCCAAAGTGCCTGCAGCTCAGGACTTCATCATACTTTTTGCATAGTCCCTGAAATTCCAAGTAAAATTCCAAGCTTTACACAGAGCCTTTAAAACAGAAGTAACACAGCTGTGGGCAGCTTAAACAGAACTGACCTTGTACACTATTAAATGAGACCAGAAGTTTCTGAATTTGCAGTCATCTGAGAGGTGAACCTACGAGCAGGTAACTGCACCTTAGACATACTGCAATGGTCAGAGCAGTCTCACTACCACACCATGCTGGCACTCAGTTAGAAAATCGCGGCTAACAGTATAGTGTGCAGTTTTAGAGGAGGCTAAAACGATTTTCAAATGTCTTTTTTTTGATGTGGACATATCCAGCAGTGAGTCTAACCCACTGTTTTGCCTGTAACTGCATACTTTGGTGTTGGGGCAGATTTCCTTCAGGAAGATGGGCAAGGATGCAGGAGGTACTGTGTGAAGCTAAATGGCATTAAGGTCTCACTGTCACACTCCATGGTGTCACAGGCACCTCTGGGGAGCAGAGGTTGGTTTTAGCTCTACTACTTCCCCATAGTTTACTGCAAGGGGGGTTTTAGTTAAAGCACACTGAAGGGAAGAGCGCTGCACATGGAAACACAGCCTCCACTAGACCAATATGGCCAAAATTGTCTGCATTTTATTTTATGACATTTGGCCTTTGTATAACTGAACATTTACCTAGATTTTAAGACTGCTTAAAGGCATGGCAAAAGAACATGCAGCTGTCCAGAAAGGTTGTTGAGTCTCTGTCTTTGGCTATATTTAAAATATGCCTGGACGTGATCCTGTGCAACCTGCTCTACATGAACGTGCTTTAGCAGAGGGGTGGGATGAAGTGATCTCCAGAGGTCCCTTCCAATTCTGGCTGTTCTGTGATTCTGATATGGGTAGTCATCACCCTTATGCAGAATGGTCATGGCTCAGTAGACTTCACTAATCCTCCTGTCCAGGGTCAAGTGTATCTGTCTCAGAGGTCTGTCCTGTGTGATTCATTTGAGCACTTGAATTAACCTTTCACCTTGACCATGCATGAGTTTTGGACCTTGTTATAGATTCTTGATTGTTTGAAATGGCTATGTGATTTAGAGAGGGTATAGAGAGCATTTGGTATTCCCTATGGCATGAACTGGAATCCTGACTTTTTGGAGGTCAATCTATTCTGAAGATGTTGATCTATTCCCTTCTTGAAACTCTAAGATACAAAGAAAATGGGTGCCACAAAATCAGTAGAATATCTAGTCATGATGTCCACCATTTCAATAGTTTTAAGATCGATGTGAGGGTCATGTGAATCCTGTCAGTTGTGTTTCCACAGCCAGAAAATTCAAGATGAGTAAAGATCCACATGACATTGAGAGATACCATACTGAGGACTGTACCAGAGCAAAATATCTTCAGAGAGGCACAGTAGACCTCAGCCACTCCATATTTCTGGCAGACTTGCATGCCCCAGACTTTTTGTCCAAGTTGAGGTGCATCAAAAGAGAAATGGCAAATTTCAGATTGCTGTAGCTGTAGAAGACATTATGCTGGTGCTGGAGAAAAGGTATAAACCCTCAAAGCAAAGGGTTTGGAGTTCTAAAACTACAACTCCACTGCTGGTTACCCCATGTCTGGGGGGCAAGGCAGTTCCTTCAGTGTGTTTAACCTCCTTCACTCGAAGCCTCTTTGTGGTGGAGGACATCCTTGCTTGGAATATGATTATGCCTCAAGCCGCCAAGAGGGGGTGAAAGAATCTGTAACAACCCTGACAAGCATCTGCTCAGTTTCCTGTCAGTCCAGGGCAATTCACAGACCAGTGCACACCATGTGTCCTAGCTCACTCCATAACAAAGGCAAGGATCAGGGTATCTGTCAAGACTGCATGCTCCTTATTTCCATGTGTGGCAGAAGTGATCTTTATGGGAAAGAAAGATTTGTAAGCCTAGTCCAGGTTTGATCTCTCTTTTGCAAACAGTGATTACTTCCACCACATTTAAGTTAAAACACTTTAAAGTTTCATTGTTTAGATATTCTTAGAAATGAAAACAATATGAAACACAATGATCATTAATATGCACTTCCAAACACCTGCCTTGGTATCTGAAGAGTGCCTATGATATGGCAAATTCTAATTAGAGTCACAATGTAATGAGAACCACAGCATTTACAATAGCAATATTTAAAGGAGAGAAATTGAGGAATGGCAGGAAACACTAATAATTTGCTAGTTTCTCCATATATCTGTGATTTGGATTTGTATTTTGATTGCATTATATCTTTTAAATTGAAATAATGATTTTTATAAACCCCATTTATACTTAGTTTTACTTTAAGAATATCTAATAATGTATGTTATTAGCCTAATTTGCAATGGTGGCCACTTTGGAGACATGAAGGTGAAGTTTTTCAAACCCTTTAATTCGTGATTACATATTACAGCAGTGGAAACTTCAGACAGTTAAATATTGGGGTTTTTTTTAGCTCTGTATCGATTAAAGGGAGGTCCATTGATAGCTCTCTGTAAAAGAACAAAAAGGATATTGAAGAATTAGTTTTCGCCAAGTTCTAGCTAAAGAAGATCAGGACTTATAAATAATGTTTGGAGCTTTTCTTGTGTTTGTTTGAAATAAATTCTGTGAACTGTGGAAGAACATAACCTTCAAAACACGTACCATGACTTCAAACTCTTTTTCTGTGCAGCTTAGGGAGACAAGCTAATAAGAAGCATGTACTTTTTTGCTGGACTGCTCCTCAGTCCACTATGAGCATATGTGAGTCGTATGGCTTTAGCTGCTTTTAGAATTATTCTCTACAGTAAAGAGAAATACTTCTGAATTGACCCCGGGCTCTTTGAGAAAACAGAGACAGGCCATGATACCCACTAAGTATGTAAAAACAGACAATAATTTAGCAGAAACCAAAGAGAGTCTCAAAGCTATTAGTTAAATTTTAATCTATACCATATTTTATAAATACTTGGGATCTAAGGGCTAGAAAGAGCCATTAGGTCATATAGATTTATTTCCTGAGCTTAGTGATTTATGTTTGACGAAAGCATATCTTCCAGGCAGACTTCCAGACCATTCTTTGGATATATTAAGTAGTGGAGAATCTACCACTTCCCTTGGTAGTTAGTGTCACTGTAAAAGCATACCTTAGTGCTAATATGAATTTATATGTCTTCTTCAGCTTATGGCTGTTGCTTCTATTTATGTTCTCTTTACTAGATGAGAAGCCACTTCACTGCACAATACTTATGCTATAATTAAGTCATCTTGATCTTTTTTCTTTCTTTCTTCTGATAAGCCAAATCACTTGATTTCCTTTAATGTTTTACCACATGGCAGTTTATACAGCATATGGATCATTTCTATTCCTAGTTTCTGTAACCTCACAGTTTTCTTCCACATCCTTTCAAAGGCAAGTACATGAAACCAATTTGCAGTGATTCAGCACCGCACTGTTAAAGCTTTTTACAGAAGTAAAATAGACTCCTGGTTCCTTTAGGTGTCCTCTGTTTGTGCATACACAGAAACCACTCCCCCTCACCCCCTCCACCAATTTATATGCAGTTTACCATCACATTTAGGTGGTAGTTCATGTTTGGTTTCTTCTTAATCCAGATCCCACCATGCTTCTCAGAATTGTTCCTGAGTGCAATATGATGTCTCATTCTGGAGGTTTAACTTCCATGTCTTATGCCTCACAGCAGGACATATAGCTTTGCATTGTAACATTTTAAAGGACATTTGGGTTGAGTAACCAAAGAGTTATTGCTAGAATTCTGTAGAATCTGACCTGAAATTATGATTCTTGAAGAACCTCACAGAAAAACCCTCATGTAAGAGCTGTTCGTCATTGAAACTAAGATTTGAGAGCAAATTGTGTTGTCACATTTGAAATATGTTTTCATTTGTTATGATGTGTAACATTAGGACAGTGCTAATTATTTTGTGTCTATGTTGTTTTCAACCTTTATTTAAAAAAAGCTTTCTCTGTTTTTGTTTTTTTTTTTTTCCCAGATGATTATTGTTGAATATGAGGAAGGGAAAGGAAAGACACAGTCTGAGGAGACTACTTCAGTGGCACACCTTGAAGACAAATAAGACTTATCACACTCTTCCAGCTGTCTGGCATGTGTTTGCATTCATAGCGTGAGTATTCCAACGCAATCAGTTTCAAAATTAGTGGTGACAAATACACTGTCACACAATTAAAATACGTCAGGTTCTTTCTCTAAGTCAGCATGCGGCAATAGGCTGAGTGGTTCTGTACTCAGCCCCAAGATATTACTACCCTTGGATCTTCTTAAACATTAGAAAATAAAATAAAGAAATTTATGTGAAATTTCCATTCAAACCTATTTGCAGGTAAAAGCTGTGCATGTTTTATGGAGAAAAAAACCCAAACAACCCAAACTAAAACCACCAAACCCAGAGCATTTTAATACCTGTTTTACAAAGTGGCATACCTTAAAAAAAAAGATTTGTTTACCTTGCTGGATAACCAGCTGAATAACCTTTCTTTTTTTACCTGTGAATTCAACATTTGATGTGGAGAAGAATTTTTTTTAAGGCGTAACTAAGGCCAGAAGTACTCTATGCTATAAAAGCTTAAATTTCAGTGAGTAGTGGAAGTTGTGCAAGACCACTGTTAAAACAAGAGTAAAAAGTGAAATAGACTGCTAGGAAAATGGTGCCACTTGGTATATTCAATACTAAAGTAGTTTCTCTAAGAAAAATGGTCTCTCACACCTCTTCCACCACCAAAAATGAAGAAACGGTAGAAACAATCCTGCTTAAGATTAGGAAATTGATCTGGAAAACTGTATGTACTGAAGAGGGAAAATTATCATCTGTCAAGAAGGAGGGCTGGATAATGTAAGATTTACATGCCAAAGGTCAAATTTGCTTTACTTTTGCAGCAATGTAAATCAGTAATAAGCATCATGAGGTCAGCAGACTACCTATAGGTGCATATGTGTATAACGGAGACTGGAAATTTGATTCAACCATGGCTGGATTAAAGTAAATATTATGCTCCTGACAGAATTGCCAGCATGATAAAACAACAAAATTAATAAATAATAAATCTCAGACAATACTGTCTTTAAGATAAAAATGAGAAGAAGGAGTGAAGCAGTGTGAAAATAACTGGCTCATTCATCTTAGGTTGATCTATAAGCCATGGCATTTACTGATCTCTACCGCACTGTGCATTTTCAAAGACAAGAGCAGGCAGTCAAATACATCCCAACTCTTTCTTTTTTTTTTTTTTCTTTCCCCAGATTTGTTTGGGGCTTTTTCCCTTTCTCAGAGAGACTGAGAGAAGAAATGTTTTTATGCATTATGATACAGATGCCTTTTGCAGGACAAGAAAAGGAAATTTTCCTGATCATTTATTTTCTGATTTCTGAGCCATTTCCCATCCTACTAAATTGCTTAATACTCCCTGTAGCTGGACCTGTGACCTGGAATCTTTATGCAAGATTAATGGGAAAGCAAATGGGAATTAGTATCTGGGCGGGTTGCTGCACAGCTCTTGCTTTTATCTAGCACTCCACCTGTTTTGTTTGTTTGTTTGTTTGTTTTTTACAATTATGTTTTCATTAGTTTCTGAAGCCAGCAATGCTAAAAGACCTTCCCATTTCTTCTCTCTGTATTTCCTCCCCTTCATGCTCAGTTCTTTCCATCTCCTATCCCAAAATTATCAAACTCACTTTGCTGGTAACTGACATGCTGACAGGAAATTATTACACGTCATTACACTTCTTAAAACACAATTTACCCAGCCTTTGCAAATTATTCTTCAGTAACTGTGAGGGGGTAATGGAAACTGTCTATTCCACTTACAGTTGTCACTCATGCTTTCTTCTGTACAATGAACGATTTATGTTTTCTCTCTCTCCAAAAAAAGGCTGTGCTCAAAATATGTAAAAGCAACTTATCACAGAATAGGAATATAAACCTCCTGTTCAAGTTGCCTTACTCTGCCTTATTACAGAGCAGATCAGTTTTCTATCATAACCTCATTAGTCCACATGCAAGCACAGTGCAAGCTGATGTTTATTTAGTAGGAGCAGGCCTCCTTGTGACTTCTGGCCTGCCAATTGCACTTGACACTGCTGTAAAAGAAAAGCTATCTTGTGTGACTATAGTAGCCAAAACTGATAATCCACAATCATAATAGTCCTATTCCTTGCCTGACACTTTTATTCTGCTTCATGGATAGCTACTGCAAAAAGGTGTCTGCAGTGTTTTTTTACCCTGTTCTTGTATCTTGGTGTTGGTTTGCACTTCTTTGTCTTTTGGTTTTGTCTTTCGTAAATTCAAACTACCGAATCTTAAAGCGAATAGGTTTATTTAAAAGACTTAGAAACCAAAAAAGAAAAATTTTATGTTCTCTCCCCCTCAAGTTGATCATATTGATTAGCTTTCAGGCATTTTTCTGTCAGGCTCATTCTGCCTCAATGGGAGAAGGATGATGAATTGTCTGACGACTAGAGGCAGGGAGAGAGAAATGCTAAGCCTGGGTCTGGGAATTGGCTAAGTACTTCTGCGGAGCCTCACCCTCTCAATTGCTCTCAGCGACTTGGCCTCCTTGATTTATAAACTGGAGTGGTGATTAATGGTCTTTTAAGTGGACAAGGCAGGCCAAATCTGCACAAATCGGGCCACTCAAACATGACTACTACTTGTAGGAGAAGAATAACAGCCTTTACATAGAGGTAATTGAGACAGCTTCAGAGGATCTGGTAGTCTGCTTTAGCAGAAATAAATCAGCCACACAGGCCATCTATTTTTGAAATCAGTCCTTCTCATCAAACCTCCTCAGGTCAGCACGTGGAGTTGGGAATGTGGCGGGTTAGCAGATGTAGTTCAGGTCAGAAACAAGGCAGATTGAACTGCCACTGTTCTCAGAGAGGACGGAGAATCCCACCTGGGCATCCCGCTGCAGTTTCTCAATGCCAGTGCACGTAATCCCACCTTTGTTTGTGCCTCCGTATCAGATAAATGGGGTCTAGCCTGTGGGTTAGAGGCTTAATTCCTCTCCCTTTCATACTTGTCCCATAGGTGTCTTGCTATAACCTTTACCTGGGCTGCCTGCAACTGGCCTGTCAGCTTGGGCTTCCTGCGATGGCATGTGGCCATACTTGCTGTGCTTACAGGCCAAATCAGGCTTTCTACATCCTGGGGGGAAATAAGCTCAAAAGGTTTTAACCAAGGCTCAAAACCTGTGGGTCTTGACTCCTCCTGAAATCACAATGCCCGATGGTGATTAATTTATACAGACAGAAACACTGGCAGCAAGTGCTCAGCGTGCAGCAGCTTGTGTGAGCCACCGCTTTGTCCAAAATTTGGCTCCTCAGGCAGGTACTTAATTTGCCTACCCTTAGGGCCAGCTCTGCAGACAAATGATCTCTTGTAAAGCAACTAGTGAACTTGAAAGCTACCATAGTGTCTGCAGCTCAGGACAAAAGCCTTTTTACTGTGCTGGTAAGATGGAGAACAGAAATCATGGGGCATAATAAATATTTATCAAGGAAATGATACCTGGAATCAGGAAAGCTGACAAGCAGTAAATAAAAGGGGCAGCTAGAGCAATTGAGTGGCATGGAGCAGCAGGATAGGTACATAGGAAAAAGGTAACTTGTGGTCAGAAAGGAGACCACACTCTTCTCCAGAGGGAGATTCCAAACTAGTTTCCATCTAGCGTCCCCTCCAGGGAAAGCTCCCTCTATCTGAGACAGAGGGGAATAATCACAAGCCTAATTTTTGAAATGGACTTCCAATGAACAGAGACATTTGCTGTGAAGTTGGTAATATCTTTTCCACTAGCCCTCCTCAAGCAGAGGAGCCGCAACTAAAATAATGAATTATCCCCAGACTCAGGCTATCTATTGACAACAAACATCATTAGGCTGTTTCCATGAGTGCTGTGGGCTTCTATAAAACCTAACCCCAAACTGCAGTTTCTCCAGAGGACTGGAGAGGTTAAAAACCATAGCACTACAAAATCCTCTCTAGAGGAGTTTTCTTGTCTGTCTTGTTGCTTTTAATAGAAGGGGGGTGGGAATCACAAGACTCAGAGCTCTGCACCTTGTTATCTCCTTGAAGGTGACTTCCCTGCCTTGCTGCATTTTAGTTTGTTCCTGCATAAACTGTATTGGAAAATATCTGACTCACAGAGGTCTTGTGAAAACAGGTTGGAAATCTGTACCATCAGATGCCTGAGCACAGGATCATATGTATACACAAATATACATGTACACATAATACACACACACATTCTCAGATGCTCCAAGAATCTCCTGTGCCATACTTGAGCTTGCTTTTTGACAGCAACTTCTTTGAGGCTAGTGGCATAGACATTATTTTTAGTATCAGCTTTTTAAGAAAATTGAATTATGATTACTGCTATCCTGTTATTTTTAAGACCATAAGGGGAGAATGGGATGAGAAAGATAATTCAGTGCAGAGATCTTTTGCCCTGGAAACTCCTAGGTCTCATTGGTCCTTTCTGTGATATCTATTCTGCTATAAATGGACATAGCAGTTTCTGATGGCGAGAATAAATATCAGTAGAGATGCACTCGTTGGGTTTTGTTCTGTAGCATTCCCATATATATTTATATTCTTCTCTAGGCATTTTTTTTAGTTATTATTTTTATGTGGAAAACTCTTGAGGAGATTTCTTCTAGTACCCTGCTAATATTTTGTATCCTGCGGCATACCCAACTTTATGTGCCAAGCAGATATTTTTTTTATGTCATTATTATTTTTAATTGTACTTGTTTATCTGTTCAGTTTCTTTTTACTCTTAAAATTATCCTATTTGCGTATCACTAGTCAATGTCAAAGTTTATTTGTAAAAAACCACTAGCCAACTCATATGAAATTCTCATATGCAATTGGTAGCAAAGCTTTGTGCAAAATCCTAATACAGATGTCCTGTTCCAGTGCATTGAGTTATATCTTAAAATAAAACTAGAATATACGTTTGTGTGTGTTGGGATATATGTTGATGTGGAGCTTGAAGACAATTTTTCTGTCAGTCATTGACTAATTGCTCCATGTGGGGGTCATATCTGCCGGAAGCAAAGAAGCTTTCACAGTAACCACAAGTTCAAGGATTTGATTGGATCTTAGTTTTTATCAATAGCAACTTCTATATGCAAAGGTGCTATTTCACCCTTCTGTGCCTGAAAAGCTCAGCTGTACTCGCTCCAGAGATCAAAAATCTTGCATCTAGAAGCACAGTGAAAATCGAAAAGTTAGGTTTAGCACATATCGTAATGGGATGTTGATGTGAAACTGAAACTTCACTGACAACCAAAGCAGACTAGCCTTCATCAGTGATGCTTGTCTTCCAGCCTGTTGCATAGCTTGTGGAAAGGACTCTTCTGGCTTGATAGACTGAAAAAAAATCTCTCCCTGGGCTGATGAGAGAATGGAGCACCCTATGACAAAACGTCTGTATAAATAAAAAGGATAACTGTACACCTCCAAATGGCTTACAGAAATATTTTCTGACTTATAATTCTGTCTGGGCAGTGATCATAGTACGGCTCTCATTGAAAAGCGAAACTATATTACTTGCTCATTCTCAGGAAAAAAAAGCCCCAATCCATTTTTTGTAACATTCCTGCCTTATTTTCAGAGTCGGACAAATGATTTAATGATTTTGCCCAATCATTTTTTACTCCTTTCTCATTTTCTTAGAACCTGCTGCAGTATGGAGACAAGATTCTCTCTGCTGCTGAAAGAAGATATGGAGCTGGTTGTTCTGAGTGTGTAGCTGCCTTGGGCCACCCATGCAACTCCCTGTGCAGGCAAGGAAGACTTAGGATGAGGCTAGCAGAGCCTACTGGAAATGTCAGTTTGACAGACAAATAAAATTACAGCATATATGTATGTGCATGCATGTTTGCATGTTGCACTTCTGTGTGTATATGTAGGTGTGAAGACATTAAGCCTAACAGAATGTTCTTGGTTGAACTTTTAGAAATTAAAATATTGTTTTTTCTACACTGAAGAATTTACAGACAGTGGTAGGTAACTATTTTGAAATTCTTTATGGCAAGGTAATCTTTTAGATGGAAGAGGATGGTTCCTTGGATATCAAAGACCTATTTAGGTTCAATACAGACAAGCAGAAGAATGGCCCGGCCAGCATAAAGTGGTGGTCAAAAAAAAAAAAAAAGACAACCCCAACATAGTGGTTTGGTCTAGGCCTTCCTGGCAACCAGGTCGAAACTAGGGAAGTGGCCATATCCCAGTATTCCATTCTATTTGTTTACGTAAGCAAAAGTATTAATGCAAGGGGGAAGGAAGTTAGAGGTCAGACCTTTTCCGTTGGGATTGGAGAGAAGAGGTAGCCCCTCTGAGCTCCTGGTGTCAAAGTGTAGGCCTTGGGAGGCGGCGGCAGCGGTGGCGGCGGTGGCGCGGTTCCGCTTTCTTAAGGGAAGTGTTAAGATTCTTTTGTTTGCTAGCTCTCTATATGCTGTGTATATCTGCGTATATCGGTTTTTCTGTTTTGGTTTTGGGGTGTTGGTTTTTTTTTTTTCTTATATGGAAATAGGTTTTTTTTGTAATTGTATATAAGTTTAGATATATATATGTACTGCTTCAGTTCAGTTTATTTTGGGTCTTTTGGTTCCTTTTCCCCCCTCTTCCCTTTCCTTCATATAAGGGGAGGGGGCTTTCAGTGTGGATTTTCAGGGACTTGGCAGGTAGCCAGGTCCAAACTGACACACTGAAGCAGAACAAAAAAAGCCAAACAAAATACCCAACAAACCACCAAAATGAAAACAATCAAAACAAACCCACAAAGCTTTTCAGAGAGGATAAATTGATGAATTATATTTGGGGTTATCTGCATTATATTTTCAAAATTTGATTCATATAAAGAATAACATAAAAAGCTGTTAAAATAATATTGTCAGTCAAGGTATGTGCCTTATTTAGTTCTGCCCAAATTCAGTTGCAGTCCAATTAGAAGGACCGTAATCCCCATGGATAAGTAGATAAAATGGTTACAGCAAACAGTGTAGACCAGACATTATGATAAGGAGGCTGGTAAAGGAAATTAGAGAGTGCTGTGGAACATCCTAAATATCCCAAAGCCAATGTCTAGAAATTGAAATCAGGTACATATTTTTTTACTGTTGATAAAAGCTGTCAAAGGAAATAGCAGGCATCACCTCTCTGGCTGCCTTCTGGAAGATATGCTTCAGCTAAATCAACCTGTTTGGTCCATACTAGGGATAAAGTGCAAGAGCCTTTTGTACAAAGGAACATGAATAATTCTGTGTTCACCGACCACCCGTGCTGAGACGACAGGATGAAATGTTAGCCTTTTGGCCCTAAAGTCTGGGCACTTCTGAAGGCCCATTGAAAGACTTTTGGAGGAAGGCTGCTAGGAGAAAATATCAGTGGATTGTCATTGATTGTCATGGTATTTCCTGCTAAATGCTACTCCAAAAACAGCTATAGGCTTGATTTCCACCTGTGATGCTGGGGAGATTGTTATTGTTTTTATTGATTTTATCTAAGTGGTTTGATTTCAATCAAGAGTCTATATTAAAACAGCCACTACTCCATTCTTTGAAATTGTAATCCATACCTAAACTCTTTTCTACAGTTTTGTCCTTCAACTGCGAGTTGAAATGAATATGTCTGTAAATGTTGAGCTGTTCACTCAAATTCTTGAGTTTCATAACAAAATCTAACTTCCTGTATGGCAGTCTAGTTCCAGAAATGGTACAAGCAGAGTGCAATACAATACTGGTATTTTTTTTTATAGTCAGTTCCCACTATTGGCCATTTGCAAGCTGTCCTGTCTTCCTTCTCTTTCTTTCAAAATATTTTCCGTCTTTATAAATAAAGGGCCATTACTATGTCTTGAAAAGCAAGTCAGCACATGCAAGAACAATAACTGCATTTTATAGCCCAAAATCCAACTGTTTGCTACAACTGGCATCTAGTTTTTTGAAACCATTTATTAAGATTCCACATCTGCCCACAGACAGAATCTGCTTTGAAGAACTGCTGCACTGTCATGGCAAAAGTTTATTTTGCTATGGTTTGTTTCATCCCCAACCAGTTGCAATATTGATTTCCCTCAGTGGATTAATTATCAGTGGCAGTTTCAGTCTTCCTTGCAATGGGCAGAAGGAAAAATGATGTTTTTATTTCAAGGAGGTCTATTGACAATTGTGCCTAGGCTTCCCTTGGGTCCTAAAGTCAATGAAGTTAGAAGACCCATGTCATGAAAGTACTGTGCATGAAATTATTTATTTTTTCTGTAGAATAGTATCATGTGAATGCCATGATGATCATTTGTTTGAAAAAAAAAAAGCTGGCTTCATATGGTTTTCATAATATATTGTAATTGTAAAAGTAACACTGAAATTGGACAAATATCGAACGATACCATAATATACAAAAAGTAGCAGGAGTTATTCATACTAGCAACAAACCTATAAAAATATTTAGTTTGAAGAAAGAGGCTGCATTCTTCTGGAATAGAACCTTTTCAGTTTAAAGCTCTCTGCAGAATTTGGAGGGAAAATCTGAGCTTGTGTTGTTGCCAAAAAAGCTCTGTGCATGATATATTAGGGGTCTGTAAAAACTAAAGCCATAATGGATTGAATTTTGCATTTTATTGCTTTCTTTTCTCCCAAATATACATATATGTCCTCTGCAAATATACATATATAATACACGTCAGTATACGTACCTATTGATAAAATATATATCTTTTATCTCTCTATAACTGTTCAAACTTTGATTCAAACTTATGGTATTGTCACAATGTAGAGATTATTTTTAAAAGTATATTATTATTATTTTAATGTATTATTATATACAATAATATATTATTATTTTTAAAAAGTAAAATGAAAATATTATTCTACTAAATGATTTATTAAAATGTGAGGTTTTTTTCTTCGAATCTTAATTCAGTTAATTCAAACTAGATGTGAAAAGACTGCAAATTAAAAATTAGAGATAGTGTGAGTAAGAATGCTGGTATTCTTTTCATTGCATCGTTTTGTCTTCAGATATGCTTTCAGCTGCTCTGCAAGTTTCCACTGCACCGTACAAGATCGATGATGTGAATTTTCACAAAACAGTGTAAGATTTTGTATTGGCATACAGTGTTGTGAAGAAAATGACATAACTTGGATTCAATATCTGATTCTTTTAAACTGGAGACCACTCATTTTACTTAGATTATATTGTAGCTATGTAGGCTAATTGGTTTGCATACCTGGAACATACTCCATCAGTTTTGTTACTTTCAGGACATAGGGTGATTTTGTAAGAGTGCAACTGAGAAGGATATATTTACTTGCAGAAGAGTTAATTTAGGGAAGAATCAAGCACGAATACAAAACTCAGTGATAATGTTCACAGCAACGCTGTTGAATTTACTCTGTAAATTTGAAAAGGTTGCAAAATGTTTCCCTTAGCTGTTTGGTCCCTGGCCTTCTGCAGAGGTAAACAAAGACAGAAGCCACTATTTAAATATCTTCCTTATCTCCAGCACTTTACAAGATGATTATTTCCCTAATCACCACAGCCCAAGGCACCAGGAAAGCCCAAGAAGACATTCTGTAAGGCTGAAAAGTAAAACCCCTTTTAAACAGAAAGGGAAATGGATTGGTGGGATGATAGTGAGGGTAACTTCTGTGGATTTTTAAAATCCACCTGCATCCTCCTGCCTGTTTTTGAGTCAGAGACTCTGGATTCATTAGCTAGAGCTTAACTGCACTGTACTTACAATGTTGTTACACTGCAATTCTCATTTTTGCTGTACAGCTTGGTCAGTTTTTCCCAACAACTGTGTAAGTAGTCATATAGTTTTATTTATGTTTAGCACAAATATAATGGGGTAATTTGTTGAGAATCAGGCTATAGCAGAAGCTCCAAGCAGATATTTTTTTTAAACTAGATGTGAAATATTTTTACACTTCAGAAGAACCCATTTCTTGTTCTCTAACCAGGTGCACTGACTATTTGGAGAAGAAGTAGAACACCAACTGAGAGAGCTTCACTTGTAGCAAAGTTTTGCATCAGGGAGCTAATGACATCATTTCCTCATCACCCCAATAATAATGGAAAAAAATTGGTTGTTGAAAGATAGTATAAATAGGAAGTGTCTGCAGTTTTTAGGCTTCCTCTTGGGACACATGATTTTTGAAGACATTCTTTGAGGACTGTAAGTAACTTTTCAACTGATCTAAAAATTGAAAGATTTGGATAATGAAGAGTACAAATTTGTATTGTCCTTGTACTTGTGTCTTTTTACAATGAATTCAAGGACAATACTATTAATTTAATAAACATATGTATTTTAAAAAATTATGAAAAGCCACATAAGAAAATTAAAATCAGTGTGTTGTAGCAAACAAAACAAAAAGCAAAGAAACCACAATAAAGTTAAAAAAATGAGTGAAGCAGATATGCGTTTGTTTTCATGCTTGACCATGTCAGTACCATGGCAGTACTGAGACTGGTTTAAGCCATCACAGATGAAACATATCAGGGATTCCTCAAAAACCTGTAGTGTGCACGTTCATTTAGATATTACTATTCAGCATCCTGTTCCTTCCCTTGCAATTAAAATACTTGATTTAGAAATTAATCACATATTTACCACAAAAGTGGTTCAAAAAAAGGCTTCTTTGGAGTTCTAAACACAATCCACATGGGCACATGTGCTTGCTTGATGTGCTGGCTGGAAAACAAAAATGTAGAGTTCCGGCATTGTCATTTCTCTCTATTAGGGGTCTATCCTTTATCCTTGGAAGCCAAGATATAAATGCCTTTGGGATATTTATTTAGTTATTTATAAACTTATTTTCAGATAAGGCTTGATAATTCTCAGATAAGGTTCCCAGAAGTCATCACTCACTGTTCAGTCCTGAGGAAGCTATGTAGCTGCATAATTTTTAGACTTTCATACTAAAATTATTCACTTTCATATGTAGTGGCACACATATAAGTGTGCGAGATAAAAAAATACAGCTTCATTCCCCAAAGTACCAACATAAAAGGGGAGAAAGAAAACAAATTACCTTCTTTCCTACTGAAGTTTGTAGTTTGATTCTATCAACATAGTTTTACACAGACACAGAAGTTTGCTTGGAAACAAAGTTGGCCATAGAAGACAGCACAGATAAGTGTGCAAACCAGAAGCATAACAAAGCAGTGGAAAGGAACTGAAAAGTATGAATTAAAACAAACTCAGCCTGATACCTAAACATCTGATTTTAGGATTTTGTGAAAAATTCTTGAATCAAATCCAATAAAACAATTAAAATGTTAATGTGATTATCTGAGATTAAAAAAGGTAGATTTTTCCAGTTGTATTCATGAGTGGAAATTATATGTATATATATATATATTACATATTTATCAACAATTAGTTCAGAAATTGAACTACACTATATTTACAGTATAATTACACTATAGTTATGCAGATGTATCCTTGAATTCAGTACTTCAATACAAATGTCTGATACTTAAATGTCTAAAACAGGAATTACAAAATATGTGAGTCTCTATTCTTTTAAACACTTGAAAACAAAACTACATGCAAACACACATGCAATACGAATACATGAACATATC